TTTTAGTAGAGACGGGTTTCACCGTGTTAGCCAGGATGGTCTCGATCTCCTGACCTCGTGATCCGCCCATCTCAGCCTCCCAAAGTGCTGGGATTACAGGCTTGAGCCACCGGCCAATTATATTATTTATTTTTGCCTTTATTTATATAACATTTATATTATTGATATTTATGTATTAAGTGATAATCTGAAATAAAGGAATTATACTGTTAATGGTTGTTCTTTGCAACTAAGAAGATGCAGATGGGTTACATCACTAGAGAAAACACACTGAAATTAGATTATAAGCCAAAGCTTCCTAGTTAGAGACTGTAAGCAGACGTTCCTCAGTCTCTTCTAATCCCAGACCTCAAGTTAAATGTATGGAGTAATTAAGGAGATAGATGTTCTGTTCAGAGAAATACTGGTCTTAGGTCTAATGGGATTCTGTCAAAAGTTTGGAATCTGTATTCTCATACCCTGAGCACTGGTGTGCTCTCACAAAAATTAGGTTTATACTCATAACATCATCACTTTAGCCATTTTAGAATCTTCATATGATAGTCAAAGTAAAATTTAGTTCAAATGTTTGCTCTTTAACATAATAATTGCACATTGAGAGCAAGAAGTTCATTCTCTTTATTGACCCTGCAAACAAGGTGTCTGGGGGCTGTAAAATATAACCTATATATTTGTAGCAACAATAAAAACAATAATATATGTTGTTTGCATAGTATTTACTTTTTTTGAGAAACTGTTTTTATATGTCCTATGTACTTTGAAGTCATAGCAACTAGGGAGAAGACATATTTATTTATCTTCTCATGTAACAGATAAGTTAACCAAGGTTTAGAGAATTCGATAGTTTCCCCAGGATTATGTAGCTAGCATGTGGCAGAATAAGAGAATCAGGGTTTAAACTCAAATTTCTGACTACCAGTCCACAAAACCATGATGTCTCTATTTAAAATAAAATGTAAAGATGCTCAGTTCTTTTTTCTACACAGCTAAATTTACATAATTCACGAAGTAGGTAGAGTTTAATTTTGTTACAAGAATGTTTCATGATTTTGCTAGGAAATCCCTGTGGTAACTATACAAAACATCACTGTGACAATTATAAAATATGCCAAAGAAATGGAATGCTGATGAATAATAATAGGAAATTTGAATAATACTATTGACAAAAACAAAAGACTAGAGTCAACAGCTGTAGTATATACATTCTTAAGCACACATGAATATTTACTAAGATGATGAGTACTCACAATTTTTGGGGCACCTACTGAGTGCTTTCTAAACGTTATCCCATTTAATCCTTCCACAATCAAGTGGGGTCTTCATCTTTACTCTCTTGTTCCTGGTATACAGATGAAGAAATGGAAGTTTAGTAGGTTTGAATAACCTTCCCTTAGTCGTGCTGCTAGTGAGAGAACCAGGGTTTGAAACAAGATCTTGCCTTAACTCCAAGGTCAGTGTTTATAAACCTCCAAGACACATCACCCCTCTATTGAATTATGTGGTTTTCAGCAACAGCAAACATTGCTGTTGCTAACTGAGCCCTTATTGATTAATTCTGGCAGAGAATGGAGTGAAATCATACGACCAGCTGATATTGAACAATTGTTTATTTGATGTCAGAACAATAGGAAAGAGTTTCAAAGGGTTTTCTTTCAGTTGTATCTGCTTTCAGAAGACCGAACACATCTAGAAATTTCTTTCTTTGTTCTAGGCAGTTGCAGACCACCAATGACTTCCTATGCATAGCCAATTATTATAAACCTATTAGATTGTTTTAAGATCTTACAAGATCTTTACTGTCACATTTCCCCCCTTTTCTATGTAATTGTACTATTTTTTATTGACAACTTTTTAAAATCTTACAAAAGAAAATTACGTAAGTAAAGATTTTTACCACAATTCGCCCTTCCCAAATAATCAATGACTGTTTTTTTGTTTTGTTTTGTTTTTTTCCATCTGGGCTTGGTAGTATCCTGGGTACATTATGAATTTTTTTCTAGCATTTATATATGCACATATATTTTAGGGTGGAGACCTAGAAGAACAATTTTGTTTGCAAGCTGGGATGCAGAAGAATTTGGTCTTCTTGGTTCTACTGAATGGGCAGAGGTTAGTTGATAATTTGCTATAATATAAATTTTTATAAAATAAATTAGCCAGGACTTATTTGCCAAGCACATAAAAATATGAAATGAATATAATAAGAAAATATTTAAAGTTTTTTTTCCCCAAAACCTGAAGCAACATATTCTTGTTCAAAAATCAGCAATAAAAATCTCTGTTGCTAAAGAACTAAGTTTTGTTTGAACTTTTAAGAGCCACTTAATGCCAATTGTCAAAATTATCTTTATTTCCTGGGAGTATGAGAGTAAATAAGCAGATATGCTAGAAACCAAACATCAAAACGAGTCAGTTTCTTAACCATACTGCAGTTTATTCTTCAAAATATTGTCTTAGCAAACATGAACGACCTAACAGACTTTTCTGTGAATATCTTCCCATAAACATGCCATTTAAATGCAGAATCTTCTCTGATTCAAAGGGAATGAAGCTATTTCAAGTTTATGAAAAATATGAGGTTAAATTGTCTCTATTTCCTGACCATGAAGTCAATTTCTCCTGTATCATGTTTGATTTCTGTCATGATTCTATTACGCTTTCCAAAATATCTCCTAAAGCTAAACACATTTTTTTCTTTTTTTGAGATGGAGTCTCACTCTTGCCCAGGCTGGAGTACAGTGACGTGATTTCTGCTCACTGCAACCTCAGCATCCCTGGTTCAAGCGATTCTCCTGCCCCAGCCTCCCGAGTAGCTGGGATTACAGACCACCACACCTGGCTAAATTTTGTATGTTTAGTAAGACAGGGTTTTGCCATGTTGGCCAGGCTGGCCTTGAACTCCTGAGCTTAAGTGATCTGCCTGCCTCGGCCTCTGGAAGTGCTAGAATTACAGGCGTGTGCCACCACACCTGGCTGTAAGGTATCCTTTTCATTTATCTTTCTTAATTCATAATGATCCTCTCTATATTAAATTATGTTAAAAGTAAGGCAGAAATTTCCACCACCGAATATTTACTAAGCCCTTTGAAAAGTAATTTTAACTGCATGTATTGTTGGCTTTATATAACAGAAACATTAGCTATAAGGTAAATATATGCAAAGTCAATATTTATTCCATTAATTTCCAGTCATGCTGTAAATACTTATTGGCTCCTCTCATGCTCCAGATACTATGTGAAGCCCAGTAAACTTTAATTTTCTTTGAAAAAGTAAATGATGCTCTTGTAGACCTAGTCAAAGTTTTATAAGAAAGAATTACTCCAATATCTGGAAGAACCTAAATATTTTGATAGTGTGATTTGTGTCTTTCAAATTGTTTTTTTCACTTACAGTGCATTTTTTTTTCATTTTTTATCTTGTAGTCAGAATGCTTAGGAAATTACATATTTTAGAGACTCAGAATCCACATTGATATCTCAAAAAAACTTTGCTATGTGTTATTCTAAAAATGTGCAATTATCAATATTGACCAGGAGATGGTGCCATCCTACAGGAGAACCTGACTTCATGGTCAGGCGATGACTTAAGTTCACTTATTTTTCATAATATGAAATTTAACCTGAAATTTCATAAACTTAAAATACCTTCATTCCATATGAACCAGACAAGATTTTCTGCTTAAATAATGAGATGTTTGTAGGAAGATCTTCACTGAAAAGTCTCAGGTCATTCATGTTTGCTAAGAAAATTTTTTGAAGGATAAACTACAGTATGGTTAAGAAATTAACTCCTTTTCTACTTACCGTAAGTATATGGACAGTTTCATCTTAAATATTAGCTTTTAACAAGTTTTGCTTGTTGTTTCCTACCAGTAATCTTTATTCAAATTCTTTCAAAGCAGCTCTTTTATGAGAATTTCTTATGTCAAATTTGTCATTAATATGGATCAGCTCAATTAGAAGTCTACATACATTAAATCGTTAAATGTAGATGTGCATTTTGTGGGAGAGGGGGAGTGGGTTGTAACTTTATATTTATGGTTTTCCTTTTTATTACAGGAGAATTCAAGACTCCTTCAAGAGCGTGGCGTGGCTTATATTAATGCTGATTCGTCTATAGAAGGTGAATATTGTTGGTCTCATAAGAAAAGATGTGATTAAACTAGGAGCAGCAGTCTAGTTAATAAATTACGCCCTAACAAGGAAGGCTATGTATTAACGTGTGGTTGGGGAGTCTACCGCAACCTCTGACAGAAGGCAGTGTGTGAACCCTAGTTGAGAGTTGGGTGAGGCCTAGGTGAGCAAGTTTTTCTTTTCTACATTCCTTTCCTTTTCTTTTTGTTTTCTTTTCTTACTTTTTTTTTTTTTTTTTTTTTGCTTTGAAGTATAGAGTACTAATTCAGAAAAGCAGCATTCTTTGATTAGCTTCATCTGGCAGATTTCTTTTTATATATGGCAGGAATTTAGTAAGTATCTGTTGAATGATTAAGTCAGGGACCTAAAGGTTCTATAATTTAGAATGATGTAGGAAAAAAGTATCATTTGTGGGGTGCGGTGGCTCACACCTGTAATCGCAGTACTTTGGGAGGCTGAAGTGGGTGGATCACTTCAGGTCAGGATATCGAAACCAGCCTGGCCAACATGGTAAAACCCTATAGCTATTACAAATGCAAAAATTAGCTGGGCGTGGTGGCACACTCAGTATAGATAATATACAAAATCGATCTTGAATTATAATTATATGCAGGTACTTTAGAAAGGGTGGGATCAAACCACTCTGGGAGTTCAGAGGAGAGAATAATAGAAACTTCAGGAAAGGCTTGAAAAATGGGATAGGCATTTGAGGCTGACTTTGAAGAATGGAAATACTTTTGATAAGCGAAGGACCAAACTGAAGGAAATCTCAGATTGATTTCCATGAAAATGAAAGAGTCCATTGTCACTACAATCCAGCTCCACTAATATGTCTGTATCTTGACCATATACAACATCCCAGCCATTGCACTCCTATTCTCTACACTCAGATTGCTCTTCAACACCTCTTTATGTGTTTAATCCTTATCCTTAGACCTTCCTTTGAAATGTTACTTTTTCAGGGAAGACATGTCTTTGTGGCACTCATCACTGTCATTATTAATTATTTGTTTTACAAATAATAGACTGTATTCTTTAACAAGGAACAGACAGTATCTTGCTTATTCACTCCTGGATTCCTAATGTCTTATTAAATAAATATTTGTGGCACGGTTGCAAAAAATAAAGGACTAAATGAATGAAGGGGGGATTTTTTAGAATATTTTCTTTAGTGTATTAGTAAATTTGCCATGTCAACAGTTGGAACATGAGACCTTGATAGAGTTACATTGGCATTTACATTTTCTTTTTCTTTTTTGCTTTTTTCTTTATTTGCTGGCTTGTTTTGAGTCAGGGTCTCACTCTGCAGTCCAGGCTGGAGTGCCTGGAGCAATCATGGCTCACTAGTCTTGACCTCTCAGACTCAAGTGATCCTTCAACCTCAGTCTCCTTAGTAGCTGGGACTACAGGCAAGTGCCAAATGTCCAGCTAATCTTTGTATTTTTTTAAAATTTTTATTATTATACTTTAAGTTCTAGGGTACATGTGCATAACGTGCAGATTTGTTACATATGTATACTTGTGCCATGTTGGTGTGCTGCACCCATCAACTCATCAGCACCCATCAACTCATCATTGACATCAGGTATAACTCCCAATG